AGCGAGATAAACCGATCTCCTGGATAGGAAGGATCCACTCAGTGAAGATGAATATCTTGCCGAGGGCCCTGTTCCTCTTCCAGGCATTGCTGATACCCCTGACCAAAACACATCTGAACCCGCTTCAACGGGCAATTGGTAACTTTGTATGGCAGAATAAAAGACATCGCATAGCTAGACATATCCAGTACCGGCCTAAAGCGAGAGGAGGTCTTGGCCTCCCCAATTTATTTTACTATGTGGCAGCACAGTTGACACAAATTGCATTGTGGCATTCACCTCCTAACGAGCGGAAATGGGTGGAGATAGTGGTGATGATTACTGATAGTGGTGGTGATTACTGATGATGGGTGCAGATCTCCCCCAGTTTGCGATGTGGGTCCCTAGGGACCATAGGCCTCTGATTAGGGTTACCTGCCCGGCAATTCTGAACTCCCTCAGATTGTGGGGCTCTTATGGTCTGAAATTCAGGCTGGCGTCCTTCCCCTCTCCGCTTATGCCAATATTTCGCAATAAAGCATTTGCCCCGGGAATGGAGGCTAAGAACTTTAGGAATATTGAATGTGCGGGCCTACAGAGGATCAACCATATATACAAGGGACCCGATATAATCAACCTCAAACAGGGAAGACATCTTACACCCTTTGACTTTTTTAGATACTTGCAGATCAGAGACTTTGCTAGACAGCCACATATAAAAACTTTAGCACACAAGACGCTGACCTTTTTTGAATCTATGTGCAACTCGGAGACCATACCCAGAGGACATATATCTCAACTTTACGCACATTTATGCGTGGAGACCTGGGAATGGAGGGGACTAGCCTACATCGCACAGTGGGAGAGAGGCCTTGGCGAGGAACTTGAGGGAATAGAATGGCAGGGGATCTGAGAGGCCAGCAGAACCACCTCTGTGTGCGTGACATTATAGGAACAATCTTTTAAAATGATGTTCCAATGGTATACGACCCCAGTTACGCTATTCAAAATGAACAAAACCACTACTGACGAATGCTGGAGTGGGTGTGGGGAGAAGGGGACGTACCTACACATATGGTGGGAGTGTCCTAAGATCGCCAGGTTTTGGATGGCCATAAAGGATCTCCTGACACGGGTGTTTTCCAGAGCCCCAGATATGGACCCCTAGTATACCTTTTAAACAGATCTATAGATGGATGGACGAGAAGGGAGAAAAAACTAATCCACAAACTCACCCTAGCTACAACCAGATGTGCCACATATAGCTAGCGTTCTAACGAGAATTAGAGAAGTACGTTTAATGGATGATCTGACGGCTAGGCTTCGGGGGTCCACAGGGGCATTCCAGAGATTATGGGAGCCGTGGCATGATAGCCCACTGAGCACTTAGGGAGTGGGGAGTGCCTCCGTGCGTGCGCCTCCCTCCCCTCTCTACCTGTCCACTTGCCTCCCCCTCCTTCCTCGGGTGCCCCTCCACGCGCCTAATTGCTCTGCCTCATTTTCCCCTTTCCTTTATCTCCTACTCTTCACTCTATCCTTTGATCTTTTCCTTTACTTGTTCATGTTTCGTATGCCACGGCCTTGTTTTTCACAGGGCAAGTTGTTAGAGGCTTACAGGTACAGATATAGCTCTATGTGTCTAAAAAGAAGTGCAAGTTATGATATACACACGATATTGCTTATTTCTTATTGCTTTATGTTTGAACAAAAATTATAAAAATGTGCACCTATGTCAAGCCAGTCACAAGAACTCTACTGTAAAATTATACTTATTGCAAAATAGGTGTTTTGGCTCTGCCAGCTTGTGATTATGTACTGCACAACAAAATCAAAGAATAAAAAAAATAATAATTATATTTGATGTCAAAATTGTCCAGAACACGACATACAAAAAGTGTGGGGAAACGTAATGTGAAAGAGTTGAATTATGGTTGAACAAACATATAGCACAAATTCTAAGCTTTTTTTCTGGTTTAGAACTTGGACAATTGCCTCCGGTTAATGCCTTATCCACATACAGTACAGGGAGAATAGTCTTAATGATAGCCTTTATTTTAGTTTTGCTGAGCATGATAAACTACCCACAGATATGGTCTCAATTAAGTGTTCTCGTTAACACGATGGCTTTTCACCTCTAAAAGGGCGCGAACATCAGTGATTTTCTACATGCCAATGTTTCAACTATCCCGGAAAATATAGAATTAAATGTGGCATCCAAATTATAATGAATAGATAATTGTCAAATTGTTTTCCATAGCACAAATTAAACTGACATCAATAACATTATAGAAAAATAAATACAAATACTCTTCATCACTTGTTTAAATAAAATATGATCATAAATAAATTGATTCAAATTACATGGGTTACTGTGGTTCTATTCCCACCAACCCATATACATGTTGACATATGATGCAAAACTGTTTAAAATACTGGAATATGTGTTGTTATTTTATTGTATAAAGTACTCACCACTTAAAAACGAGATTGAGCCAGTCCCCAATTACAGCGACCCATATAAGCTTGATGCCAACTGACTCACACAGGTGGAACCATATGGGGAAAAATATTAAGAAGGTGTTTCTTAGATCAGCTGCAAAGGATACAAAGATGAACCAGTCTTGAGAATTCATGAAGTTTTCTTGAAGATATTGTATTATATAGACTCCCATTGCATGAAGGGTTTCCATGTCCATTCTATATCTTTTGAATTCTCAGAATTGTTTCACTACTACTTTTGCTGTCTAAGGTGGTTCATAGATTATGTAGTATTTTTTGAACAGACGTGTGTGTCCTCCCTACTCAACGGACAGACTAGATAAAGCACCATGCAACAAATGTTTAACCATAGGAATTTTCCAGCATAACTCTACATTTTAGGCAACAAACAACAATCTTGTCCTGTGCTGATCAGATACCATCAATGATTAGCATGCTCTGGATAAACATGCCCTTGTTTTTTTTAGGGAATGTTTGCTTATCCTTGGGTTTCAGCTGCTATAGATATATTGAAATTTTCATTAAAATCTAGTTGATTGAGGGAAAAAAATGAAATGATTATAATAATTTTGAGACCACTCTGCTTTTGTATTTATTGGTTTCATCACTCGGGTAGTCTTATTCAGAGTACATGCAAGCATTAAAAGAAATTGAAAACAAATTTTACATAATCATTTACATTTTCATTTCAAGTTTGTAACCATATGAACTCTAGGTTTTGGGTTAGTTTACAATCTTGTTGGTGAAAAGCACTGTAAAAGTGCATGCAGGGCCATATTAACACAGGGGTTGATGGAGCTGCAGCTCCATTCTCATGCCTATGAAATAGGCCCAATGATTTAAAAAAAAACAAAAAAAAACGATTTTTTTTTACTTCTCTTCACATGCTCTTGCTTAAAGGACCACTATAGTGCCATGAAAACATACTTGTTTTCCTGGCACTATAGTGCCCTGAGGGTGCCCCCACCCTCAGGGTCCCCCTCCCGCCCGGCTCTGGAAGGGGGAAAGTGGTAAAAACTTACCTTTTTCCAGCGCTGGGCGGAGTGCTCTCCTCCTCCGATCCTCCTCTTCTCCTCCCATGCGGCTGAATGCGCACGCGTGGCAAAAGCTGCGCGCGCATTCAGTCGGTTACATAGGAAAGCATTATCAATGTTTCATAACTCAAATTTAATCTACTTATATCTAGTAGTTATAGGGAACTAGGAAGTCCCTAAGTAACCAATTCAGATTGGAAATTATTCCCTTTCATTCCACACAAGGTGGTGTGTGTACGGGTTAATTTACAGTTGCATTAATATATGTCAGTTGTCAGAAAATCTTTTAAAGTGACATTCTCCCACAAAGGTTTCTTTAGTGCTCCTGGCAGTGCTGGTTTCTAGATTATACAGCATAGAAAAGCATTGATTCTAATGTTGCATTCATACAGCACAGCCCTTGCCCTTGCCAAACAGTCATATTTTTCCTCCCTCAGTAGCTCATGCTCCTGCAATCCCAGGCATCTTTTTAATACCTTTAACTCCCTTCATTGCCCAGATGTAGCCAACCCCAAAGCATGCTACTTTATTGACAAGATTGAACGGCTAAGGAAATAATTCTCATCACCATGCCCCTCTCTTTCTCAACCACACCTGGATCATGCCTTTCCTGCCCTTCAGACTTAACACATATCTTCAGTTGCTCTCTCTCTTCTGGTGTTGTCCCTGTTGCCCTTAAACATGCTACTGTAGTACCCATCTTGACACGTCCCCCCTTCTAACTATTGTCCCATATCCCTGCTCCCTTTTTCCTCAAAGCTTCTGGAAACACTTGTCTTAACCCATCTGACTTGTTTCCTCAATTCCAACTCTCTCCTTGACCCTTGTCAGTCTGGCTTCCGCCCCCTCCACTCTACTGAGACTGCTCTTATTAAAGTCACTAACGACCTAATCACAGCTAAATCCAAAGGGCACTACTCTATTCTTGATCTCTATTCTTGATTTCTTCTTGACCTCCCTGCTGTCTTTGACACTGTTGACCAGTTCTCCAAACTCTTCAATCACTTGGTCTCTGTGACACTGTCCTCTCTTGGTTTTCCTCCTGTCTCTCCCAACGCTTATTCAGTGTCTCGTTTTCTAATAATATTTTCTCCCTTTGTCCTGTCTCTGTTGGACTCCCCCAAAGCTCTGTAATTGGTCCCCTTCTATTTTCTATTTATACTGCCTCTCTTGGCAAATGTATTACCTCTTTTGGATTCCAATACCACCTGTACGCTGATGACACTCAGATATACCTCTCCTCCGCAGACCTCTCCCCTGCATTCTGCAGCGTGTCACTGCTTGCCTTTCTTCCATCTCTTGTTGGATGTCCTCCCCCTTTTTGAAACTCAGTCTCTCTAAAACAGAGTTTCATGTCTTTCCTCCTACCAATAATGATATTCCTCTCTCGCTCGCCCTTCAAGTTGGTGGTACCCATATCAGCCCATCCTTGCAAGCGTGCTGTCATGGAGTTACATTTGATTCTGGCCTCACATTTGAGCCTCACATCCAGTCTGTTACCAAATCTTGTAGATTCCACCTTAAAAGCATAGCCCCTTTTCTTACACAAGATGTTACTAAGGAGATTGTCCATGCTCTAGTAATCTCTCGCATGGATTATTCTAACTCTCGCCTAATAGGTCTTCCCACAAGTTTTATTGCCCTACTACAGTCTGTAATGAATGCTGCAGTTACACTGATTTTCCTCTCCTGTCGCTCCTCTCACACCTCTCTCCTCTGTCAGTCCTTACATTGGCTTCCTGTATCCTATAGGAGTCAATTCAAGGTACTAATCCACACCTATAAAGCAATGACCAATTCTAGCCCCACATATATTTCATCACTGATCCGCAGATATGGTCTTTCCGCTCTGCCCATGACCTTCTCCTGTACACTGTTCACACCCATACGGCCAACTTACGCTTGCAGGACTTGTCATGGGTGGCTCCTTTATTTTGGAATAGTCTGCCTATGACCATCAAGCTCTCCCCTAGTCTTCAATCATTTGAAAAGTGCCTCAAAACCCATCTCTTTAGGAAAGCTTATGGCCACCTGTGTAACCTCTGCTTCAAATACCTATCCCTTGCTCTCTCCTAAAAGGCAGCACTCTATTCTCTCCTCCAGCTCTGCTTCACTCCTCCTGTCCTTTTGTGTTTTACACCCCACCTCCTATAGACTGTAATCTCATTTGAGCAGGGCCCTCTTCAGCACATGGCTTCTGTAAGTTTTTGTAATTGTCTCATTTATTGTTAGATCTCCCCCTTTGATAAAATTGTAAAGCACTACAGAATATGCTGGCGCTATATAAATACCAGTAATTATAATAATAATGTCTCACACTAGAAGCATTGACCCAGCCTATATTCTACCCCAATGCAATGTATTTGATTAAGGAAGAAGATGCCTGATGGTAAGTTAAAGTATGAGATTTCTTTGTGCCTTCCTCACTTTTGTTAGGAGTGGTGGTAACATTAGTTCCCCTAATTAATTAAAATAATAGCCCCCACTCACCACCAATGAGCCCTCTGTTTATTAAACATATTGCATTATTCCCTCCATTTATTTTTACAAAATTCATATTTTCCCTCACTGTCCACATCCAGAATTAGGGATCACATATGTGAACTGAACACGGATCTTTACTAAAGGACTCCGATTCTGTGCAATTGAACATGTTAGGCTTGCCCAGAGCAAAGGGGACCTGGATAGACTTTTACTTAAAAGGGAATGCTTTTGGATTTTTACATAAAAAACCCTAGCCCCAATTTAGCTCCCAATTAGACTCCTATCATTTTTCTTTGTTTTGTGTTGTTTAATATCTATAATTTTGATTCTCATAGATTAGTGTATAGAAGTACTGTATTCCCCACTTTTAAGCATGTCTGCCAGTGTAGGTATTTGTGCATAATTTAGTTTGCACAATCAGATTTGTCCTTATTCCTCACATTTAGTACACCTTTTAATTTATCTATGATTATCATTGCTATACACGTTGGGTGATATTGGCTTAGCCATTGAGAATGTAGCTTTTATATCTTACATATTGTGGTTAAATGGTGCTTTTCAGGGGCAGAACTAAACTTGAGAGTGCAAAAAAGTTTTGGGGACACCCCTATCGCCAGGATGGACAAACTCACACAAGGCTTTACCTTGAATCTAACATTTGCCTTATACTTGCAGGGTTGTACTTAGCACTGAGCAGTGTTTGTATGTTTTAATGTATGCATGCTTTTGTAAGGAGTATGTGTGTGTGTGTGTGTGTATATATATAGTAATGTATTTGCATGTAATGTTGTGTGTTTTTATGTACTCTTGTCATTTGAAAGCAGTAGTTTACTTGTGTGTAGGGTTTGCCCTGAATTTAGGATTGTGTGTAAGTAGTGTTAACATTTGAATTTAGGGGTATATTTGTGTGTAGTGTTGGAATTTAAATGCTTAGATGGATACACATCTACATATACACTGCCATACACACACATATAGTCATACACTGACACATCCAGATACAGGTAAAGACATGCTGACACACACTCAGATACACAGACACACACACAAAATGTACAAACACATACACTAACACACATAAAAAAATACAGACACACTAATACACATACAGACACACAGATTTACACACACACACTGACACACATGCAGATACAGACTCTGAGATACACATGAGCACACATTGACACATAGATAACATGTACAGACATACAGATAACACACACACAAATATACATATAAATAATACATGCAAACAGATACATACATCTGTGGGTCCCGGGGTCCAGTGGCATGTGGCTGAATGTGATGGGAGTCCTTTCTTTTTGGTCTTGGCTCTCAGTCATCTCTCTCCTCTCTGGTTATCCCTTCTCTCCATTGCTGCTCATTTGTAAGCTGGGAGGAAGTTAATAGTACTCACTTCCTCTCAGTACACAGACCAGGGGCTGGGCCACATTTGCACTTGATGATGTTTAGATGGGCAACTTTAGGTTTAAATAATTATTTGATGTGTGAGGGTTGTCCCGAGCACCTGGACACGTCTCTGCCGCCATGTTGCTCCGATTGGTTTTTGCAGGTCGGGGGTGGGACTAGGTTTCATTTAAAAAATGGACAATCTGAGGAGGCAATGTTCATTTTAAATGGTTTTTATTTTTGAGCATAATATAAATTGATGACATTTGAAATAAATTAACCTACGCAGAGGCTTAGCATAACTGTAGAAGAAAAAAAATCAAGATAGGATCAGCGCTAGTAATACCACTAGGAAAGTATATATAATAGTGTAAAGGCAGCACACCTAAAAGGGGAAATACCCTTATATCCCCTGCAATAAATTAGAACATAAAAACAAAAAAGAAAGGGCGCGCCTTTTATGTTGTATGTATCACAAGGAGTACACACTATAAAATTATGATAAAAGAGAAAATAAAAGATGATCCCCACTCAAGGATATATGGAGTGATGATTCACCAGGAGTTCCAACCGAAAATTAAAAAGAATAAAACATATAGTGCTCACTGAATAACTGTAATGTGGTTAAAAAAAGAGTATAAAAAGTACTTACAATATACTGAGCAGAAATCACTGCTCAGGTAATAGCATATGGGTGGTATAATCCCCACCTAGGGATTCTTTGGCGTTCCTTAAAACGATGTAAATCCAAACAGTCAGGTTATAGATGATAAACTTAAAATTGAAAATAAAATAGGAATGTGGCTGCAACAAATATTATTTTTGAGGCCAAAATTCCTTTATTACAATAATATAAAACAAATAGGATAAAAAAAAATATATAATTTTCTAGACGCGTTTCGCCACACTAGGCTTCGTCAAGTAGAATAAAATCAAAAGACGCAAACCTGACATGCAGTTTCTTATTTAAGATACATTGATTGACTTGGGATTTGAATATTCCCGCCAAAATGACGCCATAATGACTACAAATTTGGAGACACATATTAAATTCATGAAAAAGTACAGTAGTTTATAATATATATATAATTAAGAGTTGCTTATGCTTATATAATTGTTAAAACAAAGCTTAAAAATAGTAAGAAATGAAAATAAAAGTCACGTGACGCGCAGCTAAATTACTTCTGCGTCACGTGATTACGGTGGAACGCATGCGTATCAAAGATATGCCGGCTAGATGGAACATTAGAAAAGATCACGTCATCAGAGGGGAGAAACCCTCCGATGATCGTGATCGAGGAGCATGCCGTCTGTTCTAACTCACAAACAGACGGCATGCCCTCAGTTCCATATAGACCGGGGAGATATCAAAAGGGAAATACTTATATATAGGAAACAGGGACAGATACAATATTTAAAACAATATTTAAAAGAATACCAATGACAATGGGACCATAAATATAAATGCCCTTATATGGATAAAACAAAAGTAAAAAGATTAAGAAAATCTATAAAAAGATATAAATAAAAAAGAAAAATAATAATAAAAATAAATGTAGAAATAAAAATAAAAGAAAAAGAAAAAAATAATATAACATTGAAAAATAAAAATAAGGGTAAAATAGGTAACTAAACAAAAATAAAAAGAAAAATATATAAAATAAATAAAATATATAATATAGATACAAAAACACCTGTGTGCAGGTAGACGACACACTTAGTGGGTAATAGGTACAAACATACAAAAATTACCCTTAGTCAATAGTGAAGTAGATGAAAGGACTCCTCTTATGTCCTCAAAACAATAGTGATATACTACCAGAAGGCAGTCTACAACACAAAAATAATAGAAACGGACATAGAGTAGTAACGTAGTGTATTGGGAGTTATAAAGATAGATAATTGCACTCACAGACCCAATTTGATTGCAGGCATATCATAAATAACGATGTGTATACTTCTCGATTTGTGGAACGTCAATCCCATACATAGGAGGAAGAATAAAAAATAATAGTGCAGAGTATCTTAAATAGAAATGCCAAAATTTATTACAAGATACACTTACAAGAAAGATGTATCAAAGAGGCACATCAAACTCAGTTGAAGCTGCAACCCAGTCTCAGGATCAGAAGAGCAGAAGAACCAGATGAAAATAAAAATACACTTAAAAACTATAAAAAACAAATAATCAGCATGTAAAAACAAGCCCTACACGTTTCATTCATAAAATGAACTTCATCAGGGGAATCCAATCCTCTGTAGAGATCTTGTCAGTGAAGTGAGTTGCAAAGTCCGAGGCGGTCAAGTTAGTAGGTGGAGGAGGAACAGCAGGGCGAAGAAGAGAGTTAAATGTGTGAAATAGTTGTTTGGGTTCCTGGGAGAGTGTGGTTATGAGGGTATTGAAGTAATTAACTTTTGCAGAGGAAAGAGCCAAGCTGTATGAGCTCAGCATAAATTTATAGTGGAGAAAGTCAGACGCACAGTGAGATTTTCTCCAACAGCGTTCAGCAGTTCTAGAGCATATTTGGAGGTATCAAGTGAGCTTGGTGTGCCAGGGTTGTTGTTGGGGGGCCTGCGGTGTTTAAATGTACAAGGTGCCATGATGTCTAGTTGAGAGGAGAGGGTGGAATTGTAGAAGGAGGTTGCAGAACTATGGCAGGTGAGGTTTGAGATAGGTAAAAGGAGAGTTTGGAGATTAGTGGAGAAATGCTCTAGGTCAAGACATTGGAGGTTTCTGTGAAAGTGATGTTCAGACGGTGGTGTCAATTGGGTCTTAGGTATGCCAGTGTCAAAAGTCAGCAGAAG